ATGAGGCACAGCAGAGCCTGTGGGGCCTTTGTGATATATGGTTGATTTACACACATATACAACCTGGGTCTATGAGGGAGGGGTTTGCAGCATCAACACTCTAAGGGGGTCTTGCTCCTCCCATAGCTGCAGCCTTGGATTCAAACAGAGACCATGCATTGCTCTGCCTCTCTAGCTTTTGAACTTGCTTCCTTTCTTCTGTTGTGACATCACTCCTAACCTCTCAACTCTAGCTTTATCTGTTGTGGGCAGGGGGCCCTACCAATTTTCTGTCTCTCACCAAGCCCCTTTGATCCTTTGATGGCCATTTCCTCAATGGCAATCACTTCACAAGGAAGCTAGCCTGGCTCAATTCACTTTTAACACAATCTAGATCCAGGGATTAACCCCTCAAGCCTTTATTAAATTCTAACGCTTGATGAATCTGGGAATTATAGGAGGCTAGCACCCACAAACTCTTAACACTGTGCATGTGGTTGTACAAAGTAGCAGCTCATATCTGCATTGTGGGGGATAAGCAGAGGAAGTATGTCTTCCCTTGTGGATAATTGCCAAAATATGTATATACCTGTATGTGAATAAATTTTCTAAAGTTTACTTCAGGTCTAATGGGCAGGATCCACTGAACCAGTTTAAGCATGCCCAAGTTCGTCTTGAGTGTGCCTACGGGGATTTCTTTCTTTCTAGGCATGTCGCATAAAGGGACGCAGGTGGCGCTGTGGGTAAAGGCCTCAGCGCCTAGGGCTTGCCGATCGAAAGGTTGGCGGTTCGAATCCCGCGGCAGGGTGCCTCCCGTTGCTCGGTCCCAGCGCCTGCCAACCTAGCAGTTCGAAAGCACCCTTAAGTGCAAGTAGATAAATAGGGACCGCTTTCTAGCGGGAAGGTAAACGGCGTTTCCGTGTGCGGCTCTGGCTCACCAGAGCAGCGATGTCACGCTGGCCACGTGACCCGGAAGTGTCTGCGGACAGCGCTGGCCCCCGGCCTCTTGAGTGAGATGGGCGCACAACCCCAGAGTCTGTCAAGACTGGCCCGTACGGGCAGGGGTACCTTTACCTTTACCTTTAGGCATGTTGCGTGTCATGCCATAAGCTAGTTTTGAAATTCCTCTGATTGAAAAACGTTTTTCTGTGTTATATGAAGGGCTGCTGTTCAAGAAATACCAGCCCAAAGATTATTTGGGCACTCGAAACATTTGTAGCTTCTTTGGATCCTGGCCTTACATGATAAACCAAGAAGAACCTTACATTAGCTTAGGTTTACAGGATGCAGCTCAATTCTGGAATAAAAAACTATAAAAAACCCTAACTAGTTATATGCCTAATCCAAACTGTGGGTAATGTTCAGCATTTTATAGCTTTTGTAAACAGAATAACACAGCATGCTGCATGGTGAAATATTTTGAGACAATTTCTAAATTATTTTCTCCAAGGAAAACATTTATTTATCCGCTTAGGGCGCCGTGCCAACCGTTGGCTGGCAGCAGATGGGACTGATGTAATGGTGCAGTGCATGCTGCATGCGCACAGCCCCAGAGCGTCTGCAGGATGGGATGGAAGGTGTCCCTTTGATGTGCCAGCTCCCAGGCTGTTGCAGCAAAGAGGCCTAGACTGGGCCCACTGCTGTAACGTGATGGCAGCAGAGTCCACACAGGATCCAGTAGAACCGGTGGAGGCCCAGTCCCAATTCTGAAATGCCCTGTTTGAGTTTCTTTTGCTAGTGGTAGCTTCTGTCAACAATTGAGCAGGCAGAATGGGGCACTGGCAGTAGCTGGCAGAACCAGATAGGGCTGGGAGGAGAGACATCGCCAATCCCACAGCAGCCCTAAAATCCCGAAGCTTGGGTCAGCCTCTCTCTATTCTGGATGTTGCTTATTCTATTCTAAAAAGGTATCGGATTGGCTTCAGCAAATCTCACAAGACACCTTGTATAGATACAGACAGTTCCTAATTTTATAAATTTCATTTCCCACCTTAATGATGTTTCTTGGGCCCAAAACACTTTGGAGTAAGAAACAACTTGTGGTAAAACTGCAGCTGTTCTGGCCTCTTCCAACATCATCAGCACCACACACACACACACACAGTTTCTGGTCAATTTGCATAACCAGTTATCAATGTGGGAAAGGAAGTGGTTCCCTTCCTGTGTGAGGTAGGCTGTGAGTGAGTCTGTTTCTTTGAAACTAGAAACTCTTGCAGCATTTTTGAAAGGGAGTATTGGGAACAATTAGGAATCATTCTTCCTCATCCCTCAGAATTTGATGAATGACTATGAACCTGCTATCTGTTACTGGAAAGTCAATAGAAAATCTAGTACTGCATCATGCCCAACATATTGCACATAAAAGAGCAGTACAATTGAGTGGCACCTATATCTCAGAAGGAACCTTAACTTACATAACTTTGGCTACAATCCTAACACCAATTACTTGAGAGCAATCTTGATTGAATTCAATAGGACTTACTTCTGCATAGACATGATTAGGATTGTGCTGGAAATGTTAAAAGGCAAGTCCAATAATCTACTCTTCCTCGGCCCTCCAAATTTGATTGAGGACTATGATCCTTCTACTTGTTACTAAAAATCACAAGAAAATCTAGGACAGATAACTCCCAACACAAAAAAGTACAAGAAAATATAGTGGCACCTATGACTGCTCAGAAAGAAGCAGACTTGCATAAGTAAATGTTGAAAGGCAATTCTAATTAGCCCCTCTACATAACAATGTCTGTGGAGAAAATTGCTACTAATTCTTATACTGACTGTACCAAATGCTATTTTTCCAATTGTAGAGGGAATCTTCTCTCACAATAATTTAGGTCCAAATTTAAGTCCTCAAGCTGAGTTTTCAAAAGAGCCATGCCAATATGGAACAAAATGTCCTGAGGAATTAATTCTCATAACAATCACCTGCCGAGTCATGTGGGAAAGCTGTCCTCTCCCATGTGGCTTTTGCACTTCTGTGATTTGTGTTTTGAGTTCAGTCACGTTGGATGTTCTCAGTGTTTTGGAATTCAGGATGCTAAGAGCATTATATAATGTATGGAAACTCAGAGCTTTTGTGATTGCTGGATCTGGCTGGTTCTAAACTAACCAAGATAATTTAAGAAAAGTCCAGGGGCTTAATCATTCAATAGAAGTGTGGTATAGAAATCTCTGCATAAATCAAATTAATATCTACTTGCGCATTCATTGGTGCATAAAGAAAGCTGGTATGACTTTTTTCAAGTGCCTTTAACACTTGTGTAACAGACAGAAATTCAACGGGCACGTATTTTCTCAGTATGGAAGACACAGCAATGTCATATCATTTTCTTGTTGAATTTCTATGTCTTAGGCAACTATTAAAGACACAGGAAAAGAGAAGATTATAACTAAAATAATTCTTAAAAATATGGTGCGTAATAGTGATTGCTTTCTATCTGCTGCTATGCTAATCAATATCATTAACAACTGTCTGGGTTGTGCTTTGCTATCGGTTTGCTATAATTTCATCTTCCCTTTTGCCGCAACAAAGTTTGATAGAAAGGTGTTAATTAGATAATCAGTTTTAAGATAGGGCTTTACAGTAACATCTTGGGATCACCTGCTTTTCAGAGGTGAGATAGCCACTTCAGCCAATAGATTTTGAGTACCATGAAAGGTGCCAAATACATCTGAGCCATGGGGCACAATCTACCAGGAAGAAATGAAGAACTGTTCAAGAGCTTGTTTCTTAGTGTGGTGGGATGTGCTAGTTCTCCTTTGTGGGTACCAGTCTGGCAAACTTTTATACTGCTCAACAAAGCAAGCCCTTCCTATAGGACATCTTTTGTAGTTGGAACTGTGTGACAGAATACTTTAATTTGGAACTTGCTCAATCTCACATGAAAAACATCAATTAAAAATAGGCCTCAGTTAGACATTTCTGGGGAAAGCACTGCTTAAAATTGTTTGCTTGTCTACTTTCTACAAGGTAGTTCTGCTTGCATCTCAACGTGCAACCTCTAACAGAAATGACAATAGCAGAAACCAATGCTTGCTAATGCAGCTGTGACACACTCATACACCCTCCCCAACTGTCTCTCACCAAGCTCCTTTGATCCTTTAATGGTTAAAAGAATAGTAAGCAGTATATTTCAGATACACATTAACACCACGATTGCACGTGCTGATTACCCGGTTACCTCATAACCTGTTCTCCAGGTACTGTCTGGTGTGTGTAGGTTAGCACTTGTAATTCAAGAGCGCTCACTGAACTAATTAGCAAGCTGCCTTAGGCATTCACAGGTTATGCATCATCGTTTCATATACCCATAAAATGAGGTTGTACAATGGAAACTATAGACTAATAAATTAAAATAAATACTTTTGGAATCCTTTTTTTTTTTTTTTTGGTTCTCTGGTTGTAGGCATAGGAACTTTTAGAACAAACCAACTTGGAAATTTAAAATGTAGGCAGCACTGCCCTAAGGATGTTTACGTCAAATAAAGTCCCAGTGAGTTCATTGGCATTTCGTTCCTTAAGACTGCAGCCCAGTCATAAGCAGGTATGATGCTCTAACTTAAAGTCCCTTGAAATAATAGGGATGGTAGCCATAACTGCTTGTGTGAGTTCTAGGCAGTACTACCAGAATGAAACTGAAGTCGTTTGTGGATTTCCAGTTTCTCATTGGGAACACCCTCTAACCCACTTTGGCTTCCTATTACCAAACTTACTGTTGACATCCTTGAGGTAAATCACAAGAGAGTCTCAAAAGATTCCAAAATGAAGTACCTAAACTGAAGTAAGCATCTTTTAAAATTTCTTTAAAAATGAATGTTCCTTAACACAGAGACACACGAGACACTTAAAAGGCAACCATCACAACTGGGATAGAAGAACTCAAGGAAGGAAGGAATGGGGAAAGGGAACAATTTGTGGAGTGGGGCAAAGAAGGGGGTGGGGGATAAGGCCAGGGGTAATTTATTGAGTGTGGCGTGGTTAGCGTGCACTTACTGTGTTGACATTTGTTTAATTCCAGGCACTGTCAAATATCTCATCGCACATCTCTTTGCAAAAATGTCTCTTCCTGCCTTGCTCAGAGTAAAAGGTAAGTGTCCTGCTTCATCTTTACTTTCTCTCAGAGTGAGAGGGCAAGCATGTTCTTAATCCAGCAGTCTAGTTTAAGAGTAGGTACATTTCTGATGTTTAGTCCTTTCCATGGTCCTTTTTGTTTGTTTGTATCTCTAATGCTGCATAGTTTGATATTTTGATTATTTGCTGTAAGCAGCTTTGGGCACAACTCAAGTTGTGGAAAAGTGGCATATAAGTGAATCCATCTTCAGTCTTTCTTCTCCCTCACATGGCTATAAGCCTGGGGCCTCTTGCTCCTCACTCTGCTCACTGTCATCTCTGTTGCCAGCTTCACTGCCTATCACATTTTTGGGAAGAAAACCTCTGCAGCAGGGTGCTTGCTGTCCTTGTATAGACTCCCTACTTATTCAGAACCCAGATCTTACACAGGTAGAGGCAGCAGCTTCCTGCTCCACAAGTCCCTTTCCCATCATGTGGCAGTCAGTGAAATGGGTGGAAAAGGTGGGGTTCTCCCCCTTATTGTCCTGTGAGGCTTGAATGCCAAGGAGGGCTTTTGCAGAAACCTATTTTAAATATCAAGAGGGCAACTTCTCCAGAATTTGAATCCCAAACATACCCCGTATAATGGTGATGAGGTTAATGAAGCTTCCAAAATCATATGTAATTAACCTCCTGCATATCTCTGTCCAGATTTTGTACTGAAGAGAATTAGGTCACATGAATTAATATGCCCAGTTCAGAACCACATCTCCAGCAGATGCTAGCTGTTATGGGAAGGGCCGTGGCTCAGTGGGGGTGCATGTTTGCATGCAGAAGATCCTAGATTCAATCCAGGGCATCTCCAGGGAGCCCTGGGAAGGACTCTTGCCTGAAGAGCCACTGCCAGTGAAAACATCCAGAACTAGATGGGCCAATGATCTGACTTGATATATGTCCACCTGGCATGGTATCATATATTAATAGCAGTCTGTTATCTGAGTTACCAGGGACGTGGGTGGCGCTGTGGTCTAAGCCACTGAGCCTCTTGGGCTTGCCAATCAGAAGTCGGCGGTTCGAATCCCCGCAACGGGGTGAGCTCCTGTTGCTCGGTCCCAGCTCCTGCCAACCTAGCAGTTCGAAAGCATGCCCCCCCCCGAGTGCAAGTAGATAAATAGGTACCGCTCCGGCGGGAAGGTAAATGGTGTTTCCGTGCACTGCTCAGGTGTTGGTGTTCTGTTGCTCCAGAAGCGGCTGTCATGCTGGCCAAATGATCCAGAAAAACTATCTGCAGACAACCTCCAGCTCCCTCGGCCTGTAAAACGAGATGAGCGCCACAACCCCAGAGACGTCTGCGACTGGACTGTCAGGGGTCCTTTACCTTTTTATCTGAGTTACCAGTTCTTATTTAACCAAAATAGTACCACCCATGCAGAAGAGGGAGGGATCAGTATGCTTGAGAGAATTGAGAGGTTTGCAAGAACTATGCAAACTCTTGGGGTGGGGGCAGTTAATTCCAAAATAGTATAATGAGGACTGAGCGTGTTGAGTGGGCAAAGAATTGACAGTGCTGCCACCGCAGGGAAGAGGATTGTCAGCAGCTGGAGGTGGGGGCAAGAGAAGAGGATTGATAGTGGTCCATTGGCCAGACCATGCTGAGGACCCCTTGAAATCTGGCATCAACCCTGCTTCCTGTAGTGCAATGAATCTTTCCCATAGCCTCCTTTGGTATTCATCAAGTAAATATACAATTGTGTACATAATAGGCATAGAACATGATCTTCATTAGGACCAAGCAGTATTATAAATACCAGATAATGAATTCCAAGACCTTGCAATGCTATTTTTAAAAAAAGAAAAGTAGGAGGAAGTTCAGATTTACAAAACATTTGCCCACTAGTCCATCCATCATTTTCCAAATTTATTTAAGAAAAAAAATAACATGAGCAAAAATGAGAGTACTTTCAGTGTTACAAGAAAGTATATAAATGTCTAGCAATAGTCAATCTGATTTTTTTAAATACAAAATAACCACATGAACACCTAATATACAGGTTTCATTTGAATACATATTTATTAGATAAATATTAGGTTGTCACATCATCTAACTACATACAGTTTTTCAAGACTAAAAATCACAATTATTTTTTTCTGACCAGTTTTAAAGTATGAAATGATTGCATTGTACTGTACATACAATGTACAAACAAAGACAATGGCCATTTTTGCATGTTAATTCCGATTGTACTTTTTAAAATTCTCCTCTGATCACAATATCAAAAAATTGTACAAAGTATGAATTTGGTTACAATCTTTTTTATTATTTAATCCCCTTATTTTCTTCATTATTTTTGTAGCACCCTAAAAATACACAGGTGATAAGACTAGTACATTTAAGCTAGTTATTACATGAAGGGAAAAACAAAAAATGCAACAAAATTCTTTTCACAAAGGATCCAGAGTATATTACAAGAAGTGAAACAAATGTGGAGACTTCACAAACGCTAACAAACAGGATTCATTTTCCACATAAGATGGAGCTTCAAGCTTTATTTTTTTCCTGCGAAATAAAAACAATGCACATTCCAAGGAAAATGAATGCATTTCTGTTAACATGTCTCTATTTGCCATTTACATATGTACAGATGTCCCTGGAGTCTCCACTGCAGACATTAGTGTGTTTTCATAATCCTCTAATAATAATTAATAATAATAACAACAATAATAATGTCTTGGCAGTAGAAGTATAAATCTCTGTGGGTTCTTTTCCAGGTGGGTGTCTCTAGGGAAACAATTAAAAAAAACAAAACCCCAAAGCAAATGCCCCTGAAACAAGGATTTTTTTAAAAATAAAATAAAAAAACCTTTGGTGATATAATTTTGCCCTTCAACACAAAAACAACTAATTTACAGAACAATCCTATGTATGTCTACTCAGAAGCATTCATCAGGGTTTCTTCTCAGTTAAGTGTGCATAGGATTGCAGATTTCTTAAACAACACCATACCAACTTGGTGGGCCTTTTTTCTGAGAAGACATGCATGGGGTTGCTATTTATTTAACAGATTTTCTCCACATTATAACATGATGGCAGTGAGTAGATAAGAAAAAACCATCAACCTTTTTTTTGTTTTGACTATCCTTAAACAGTCCCAGTAATTTAATAAGATGCTAATGTGGCCATGTGAGAAAGTAAGTTGGGGGCATTCTGGGTTGACTTCACAAAGGCTGCCTCTTTGATAAATATGCCCTTTGATAAACTATTACGCAAGTACATGGCTAGATCTCAGCATTTGCTTCTGTCCGTTCACCAACACAGCTCAGGTAGCCCTTGTGCATAGTCAATCTGTCTCTTTCTACTAATCAGTGTACATGAAATCCACAGCTGCCAAAATGTGCATTTAACTGTTACTTGAGAGAAGATTTCATCAAATGATAGAAAGCCTTATTATACCAAATATGTTTGTCTCAGGTGAGTCTCACCTTATGCCTCCTCAACAGGAACCTTTATATAACGTTGCATTTTGATTGCCATCAGCAAAAGCTAAACAATTTTGACTTTAAAATGGTTCCGTTTCCAGTTACCCAGAAAACCACCCCTCAATTTTCAAGTAACTAGTTTTGATAGATGCATATCTAACAGTGGAGGAGCAATGCTAATAAAATAAAATAAAATTCAGTGCTAGAAGCTGAACAGGCAAACGCACAGTATATGGCTTAACACAGGCCTACACAACTTGTGATCCATCAAACTGAATGCAACCCACCCACCACGTATTGTAGCCTACCAGGTGCTTGACTAACAACATAACAACTCTGCTGGAGCAGGGCCAAGGTGCGTCTAGTCTACTAGTCTATTAGTCTTTCACTAGTGGGTCTCACCTGATCTGAGGTGTGTCACAACAGGAGCACTATTACCATGCAAATATATGGCAAAAGATTAAGAAATGGATCCCCAAATGCATGTTTGAGGTCCTGGGTCTGAAAGGTTGAAGACTACTGATAGTCCATCATTCCGCTTTCACAGTGGCCAATTAGATGCCTATAGGAAAGACACAAGCAGGACATGAGGACGGCAACACTCTCCTCACTTGTGATTTCCAGCAACTGGTATTCAGAGGTATTTTTATTTATCTTTTTTTTTGCTTTTTCAATAAACAGTGGAACCGGAAGCTTTATTGCACTACTGGTGGGCCACAATACATGGCTACGACAAGTGTGTGGCATTCGGTTTAGAGCTCATAGATTGTGTGTGAGAGGCTTTTTAAAAAATTAAGAATAATGCGTCAAATTATTAGCCTTAGCTGCTCATACAAATGATTTCATTGATTATGTAAATGATGCAGCAAAATGGTGCAGGGGGAAAGCTACTAAAATGAAAACAAAAGAAAATGGAAGGAAGCTCTAGACTTCAGTGTCACAGTGGTGTCCCATCTCAGTTGTGCCACCATATAATAGTTGTGGCACCAGGTGTCCAATAATAAAGATCCTTTGCTATGTATATACAGGATAAGAAACTATATTCTGTACTGCTTTCCCCTCTTCTACGCATAGGCCAGCATCCTTTTCAGAGGGATGTAAGTGAGAGCCTTAGAAATAGCTTCTTTGCCTACAAAGCAGAAGTCTAGGGTGATACAGGTTAGGACAGTCACACAACAATTTCTTTGCTGGGCTGCTGAGGACACTGGCCAGATGTAGAATATTTGTTGAAGAAACTGATAGGGCGAATTTATCAGAAGGAAAAATTGATGCTCCCTTAGTCCAAGAACCCTTTACAAAAAGAAAAAGAAAAAAGACCCGCTCCCCCTGACTATGTATTTTAAAAACACATGTATATCCAGATCGTGAAAATGTTGAATATAATAATCAAAGACAATACTAAAATATTCACAAAAGGTATTTACAACAGCAATTCTTAAAATAATTGATCTTGCATAATGAACAGCGCTTCTCTTGAAAAAAGGAACAAAATAAAAACCTCAATAATAAGGGTGGGGAGGGGAAAGGTAAATGTAGGAACATCTCTACATAAAATGTTTACAAATTCAACACTCCTAACTGGAAAATAATATAAGAACTAAAACTGCCATTTCCTGTAATATCTACAGCAAGGTGCTGTCGACTAGCATATATATATATAACAAGATGCAAATACAGCAGTGGTGGTAGATGCTAAGAACAAATGCTCAAAGAATTTACAAGCATGACTTTGGTGAGGAGAGCAAATTCAGAATGGAATGCACAGCTCATGCCATTCGCAGAGGGCAAGGTGGGTGGAGCTTACACACTGAAACCAACACGCAAGAGTTCCATCTGGCACAAAATCGAAAGCCTACTGCTGAAATCAAAGATGGGACGATTGGATTGGATTCCGAACAGGGGACGAAGCAATCAAGGTGTATTATCCACAAAAAAAGCAATATTCTGTACACAGTAGGCAGAAGATGAAATGTTGGCCCGCAAGGGCAAAGTTGGCACACATGCACGTCTTAACACACAGGTACTATACAAAATTTATAAAGAGAGAACGACGGAGAGGACGCAGAAATGGGCCCAGAAGTGACTGGAAGCTCGTGCAGGAGGGAAGCAACCACATGAGAAGCACAAATACCACGGAAGCATTGTGGCACGAGAGCCTGCTGTACGGTGGTACCAAAGGAACTTACTGTTCCCGTGCCCATTATCCTTGGAAATATATTTTTTGAAAAGAAGAGGGAAAAGGTCCTGGCAGCTAAATGATACATTAAAACTGAAAAAGAGAAACAAAAAGGCAGAGCCACATAACACAATTTGGAAAATGCAAAGCAAAGAATCGGAGGGTGGGGGGAGAGATAAGGAGACTCTTATTGCAAACGTCTCCTTCAATTCCAAACAATTGTGAACAGTTTTCCCCTCTATCTCTCTCCCCGCCCCCAAATATCTTGAAGTGAGAGCTCTTTTTCTCCACACTTTTGCTACATTTTCCTGTTAGGAACTGAGCAGTGATCTAACTTCGCAGGTTACAAAAATCGAAAGCTCTTGGTGATGGATCAACGGTTTACAGTTTTTCTCTTCTCCTACTTCATATGTGAATATGGTCTGCCCCCTTTTAATAGCTGGCTGCTTTATTGTCACAAAAGGCAGTAATCTGAAACCAAATCCCTTAAGAAGAAGAAAAAAAGAAAGGGAAAGAGAAGGACAGAAGAAAACAAGGTGTCCACGTATCTGTGTCAGAGCAAGGTAACTACCCTTCCTCTAAGAATAGTAAAAAAAAAGAAAAAAAAGATTGCTACGATTTAGAAAAGCACGCTTGCCATACCCTGGAGATTCACTGGACTCTTCCACAATGGAGAAACCACTGTCTTAAGAAACAGATGCCTCCCTTGGCTGCATTTTGTATTTTTATCCTACTTGTGACATCTTTATTGGTTTTTTTGTGCTTTTTGGTATTTGTTTTATGTTTCTGAGTTTGTTTGGCTAGTCTAAATGTGCTGCCAAATAAGTTTTGTCCTTATTGTGTCCGACAGAAGTGTACTGGGAGAGGGAGGGAAGGAACATAGTGGAACAGACAATACAGCATTAGGGCAGGAGGGAGAGAGAACTTAATGGAAGAACACAAGTTGGAAGGACTTTCTGAAACTGGTCGCTTAGCATAGTTCTGTTGCCTTTCTTCCCTTGCTGAGACTGGTTTCTACTGGGCTGCTTCTCTCTAGGCATATCCCAAAACTCTTTTATCTCTCTGCATAATTAACAAGTGAGGTTTCCACAGCTGCACAATCGATCTGTGAAGTAGAGTGGCAGTCTGTGAGGTCACCACCTTACTGTCCTCTTGCTTTTCCCCACCGCAGTTGATGAAGCTTGACTCAAGCAGTTCTGAGATGAAGTTAAGTAGGGAGTGTGCACCATTTGCTTAAGTTGTGAGTTTGTCCTTGTGAAAAAAGGGTGGCTTGGGATTCCTCACCGTGAAGCTACAGACTTGTCAAACAAGTGTGAGGTGTTGGGGGACAAAACACAGAAGGCTTCAGTTGTTCTCAAAAAGAGAAAGAAGGTCATCATTGCTATTGCTTGGTAAGTCAGGAGGATCCAAGTATGAAAGTAGCTCATCTGGATTCGTGAGTTCTGGAAGCAGCTGGAAAAGAAAGAGGAAATTTTGAAGGCAGCATCATCACAGGGGTGAAGTAGCTGGCAAATGGCATGTTTTTCGCTCCACATTTGCTGGCAGATAAAGCTCTCAAAATGTGTCTGTAAATTTTCTTAATGGGTAGAGAAAAGAGTCCTTTATATATGATAGCCAGCCTAATTACAGGAAGATTTTCCACTCCAGTGCTACATGGCTGTTGGCATGGCGATCCTCCATGTAACTGAAGCATTATATGGGCTCCTGTGCCAAGAAACACTTTTCTGAGTGGCCCCCTCCCTACCATATAAAAAATTCTCTACCCCTACAAAAAAAATGTACGTGGTGCGGGGAATCTAGCTCAAATCTCTCTCCCTAGCATGTTGCTTTGTATGCACAGGGGAGCTTTTCATGTGGCAGAGCATTCAAATATTCACTCCCACCTGAAAAGGTGCAGTTCAATAATACACAGGGCTTCTGCCCATTTGTTTTAGCTCTAGGACACACTGACATGCCTTGTAAGTTATTTTGTGCCAAGGTAGTACTCAAGCCAAGATGAGGTGGTACAGCAGCCTCACAATATTATGGGCAGTTTTCCACTGTGGTCAACGTATCTTTGCCAGCCACTCTGAGAGCCTTTACAGGTGAAAAGCAGGTTAAAAATACTGCAAATAAATAAATATGGCATACAGATAATGCAGCACATTCTGTAAATGGCATCTATGAGCTATCACCACCTGAAAAGTTTAGCATGTATATAAGATGGTCTGTCGGGGTTTCTTTAAAAGTCACACACAAATATTCTGCATTTTAGTTTCAGCTATGATACTTCCTAGGAGAAAGTGTAAATACCATGTACAGATTAATATGCTATGATTTCACAAACAATCATATTGTTGGAAATTCAGAAATTGTTTGTTTACCCTTTGGGTTCTATTTCTGAAAAGGTTAAATTCCACAATCACTCGCCAACTAGTTAATATAGTTAAAAGTGAATCAATGCTGCCTGGTGTGACTATGTCCAGTTTAGCTAATATAATCTGTTCCCTTTGAATCATCTGTACTGTACCTTACAGCATTCCTGAAATACATGAACAGATGTAAGTCAGATACCTGTTGAATGAAAATATTTCAACTCTGGCTTGACAGCGATTCAAAAAGGCTTGCAATTATAATTCATAGTGTTCTCTTTGGCCAAGGCCACAGAGACTGTAGCTGTATAGTTGTCATAGCCTTCACCAACAATCTCATTTGTTTTCAGGGCACCCAAGTGACCAATATCCTTGGACAAGTAGAATGTAAGTTGATATGAAACTCTGTGGGTTTTTGACTGTAATGAAACCTTTGTATGGATGAGAATTCTCTTTTCTGAGATGTCCTTCTTTTTGCAAAACCTGTTCCTTTGTTGCCTATAGCTTATTTTGTCCTAAATAGCAATAGAATGTATGGTTTTCTTGTGGACTAAATGGCATCTCCTCCTCCTAGGAGGGAAATGCATGGTATCTATCGCTAGGTGCCAAACTACAGCACAACCTGGTAACAAGCCATACCATCTTAAAACACTAGTCAAGAAGGGAGAATCATTCAGATGTTCCCATTCAGAAACAAAACACATTTAAAAATGGAAACTTATACAAGTCTGCTCCCAGACTCAGCCACAGATTTCAACGTTCTATGTCTGTCAGAAGAAAAATCTCTCTACCACTCAGACCTTCAGCTTTTTATCATCTGGTTGGCCCAATAAATTATAGAACTATTCCATTCTTTTTGAAAATCAAGCCTGATGACATTTAAGTCTAAAGAAATAATTATTTATTAAAGTGTTTTAAATAAATAAAGTAAGTAGTTGATTGCTCAGGGTGGTATTCAACTTCTAAAACCCATCCCTTTTTAAAATGTATGTTAGTCAGATAAGTGCTATATAAACATCAATAATAACTAAAATGTTTTGTGGCCTATTTCTCACACAGAAAGCTTCCCCCCCCCCAAACCCGGCCCCTGCCTAGCCACCCTTGTCAAGGGAAAGACACCACTTGTGTGACATGGAGTCTGAGTTGTCAGCTGCAGTGAAGAAATGCAAGAAACAATGCATAAAATGAGGGCATGTGCTATGAAAGCTGTTCCTTTTTATTTTTTATTAATTCCTGCAGAAACTCAAGGCACATTCGAAAGCAAGCAGATGACAGAATGACACAAACTTACATCCAGCGAAGGCTCCGGCATATCAGATGTCCCCTGCCCACCAGCCTGACCTTCTAAGGCTGAGGAGGGGTTAAAGGCCAGGTCATTGTGTGGATGGTTGCTAGGAGCGGCCTGTGGCGGCTGCCGGGACGGCTGGGTAGGAGGACCGCTGTGATGTAATGGCTGCCCTGACTGGCTGCTGGGATGAGGTACGTGCAAACCTTGCTGCATGGAACTATGGGACTGATCAGTGCTGCCGGGGTGAGGGATCTGCGGAGGAGGAAAGAAGCAGGAAAGGAAAAGTGAGGCTACATGGTACAAGGCTCAGAAATGGCAGGGGGAGGAAATAAAATCTTTGTCACTCTAAATTACTTTATCATTAATGCAAAACTCATATTGCAAAATGCTAGGCTTGGACAGGCGTTTGCCGCCAGGGGGGAAACAATGTGCAGGATCATGAGCCCTCAGAATTTAGGAGGTGCCAGTAAAAATAAATAAATGCATGGGATAAAAGGTAGCTTGGTAGGGGACCAAAATCCTCTTTATCCAGATCCTGCCCTGAAATTGTTAGGATGGTGGAAAAGATGGAAGTATACATTAACTTTCATAACACAGATCTTAATCATCTGGGAGGAGAATGGCTTTCTGCACATTTCTTTTGAGTGGGCAAACTTAATCAGTTCTGCTGTGGTTTTCATTTAGTCACGTCTTCTGGGCAAAAAGGCATCCGCATCAAAGAAGCAGCTCTTGACAGATGTTTCCACAGCAAATTCACCTTAAGCCAATTAAGGTACAGAAACTGAAACATGGCAGTTCACGTAGTTCTCATAAAAATAAAAATACCCTCCAGATAATGCTACTGGGCCACACACAGAGATTAATGATTATGCGTGTCTGTATCTAGTGAAACCTGTGTTTGTTTCCTCCTTTTGTCCAGGCCTCCTTTTAATGCCAGAGCATGCCTTGCAAACTGACTTTAGCACCATGGAGAAAAATAAGTGCATGAATAGTTTTAAAGGATGTCCCTACATTCAGCTGACATAAAGATGCAAAAAGATAGCATGAGCACAAAAACACAATGCAAATGAACAGGAAGTGCAAGAATTCTACAACACAGCAGACGTATTAATATAAAAGACACTTCTATAGTATGCAATTAGTTAAATTTGGTTACAATAAAGTTGTTTTAAAACTATCAGAACACTCAAGTAGGCATTCTTATATTTTAAGCAACTGATCACTGCAGTCTATACTGCACCTATTTTGAGTTATCTTGGATGTGCCAGCAGAGGTTAAACTTCTAATTCCTTCTGGGAAGAAGTTATTCAGTTGTCTATCAAAGAAATATCACTGGTGGCATTTACTCATTTAAGGGACCCAACCACTTTCAAAGACTAGGCACTAATATGGACTACTTGCTTCTTCCAACAAATCAATAAATTGAAAAGTGTTGGAAGTATGATGCTAAAACTGAGATCTGCATCCTTAGAGCAGCACCCGTGTGCTTTGATATACCATGCTTGGTGATGAAAAAGTGATACTAGGAAACAAACTCAAGTAGCAGGGTGGAAGTAGGTTTATATAATGCTGAAACTCAGTGCTTAACCAAATTATTTATTTTTAACAAAAACATAACCATATGAGAGTATTAGCTGCATACAAATACAGGGGGAAGGTACATACAAATACACTGGCCAGTTTAGCATCAGTTCTTTTCTTCCTTACAGGTGAATGCTGCAAAAGTGAAGACTTCCATGCTATCAGGTGTGAGAGAAGGCAGCACGTGCTTATGCTTCTCCATATTCCAAGAAGCCAGCTCCTGGTGAGCCAATATTTTGCTCTCTACTTTCCAAAGGGATTTAAAAGAGCACAGAGGCAAATAGCCCCATTGCACATGCAGACATCTCTAAGACAGCAACATTTAATTTGCCAGTTTTGTTTGGGGTATATAGTACCTTACTGACTGATTTATCATTTCATACCCTGGTAGACAGTTTCCATGCTCCCTTCTGCCATCACCTTCCCTTTTGATTTCTTTATGTGGTTGTGCCCTCCCCTCTATACTTGGAGGGGGGAGTTCAACGGACCTATAGCTTTTCCTTCATGCCTCCCTCTGCCTCTCACACCTGAGGCAGTCAAAAGGGAAGGGTGATAGCAGTGGGACCTCACATCAGTACAGAGAGAGGGAAGAATACAAAAAGTATATGCTATCATTTGAGAAGGCACACATGGGCCAATACCCCATGTTACAGTACACTCCAAAATGGCCTGCTACTTAGATCCTTTCCTTCCCAGTCAAGGCTGGAAACTGAGGAATTGGGTATCTGCCCTTGCAGAAGCAGGAAGATAAGACATTTCCTTTACTAATCCACCAGTACAGATGCTGATAAGTTGGGAAGTTTTTAAACTAACTAACTACCGTATTTTTCGCACTATAGGACGCACTTTTCCCCCTCCAAAAATGAAGGGGAAATGTGTGTGCATCCTATGGTGCGAATGCAGGCTTTCGCTGAAGCCTGGAGAGCGAGAGGGGTCGGTGCGCACCGACCCCTCTCGCTCTCCAGGCTTCAGGAGAGCCCCACCGCCAGCCCCACAAGCTCGGGGGACAGCGGGGAGGCGGAACGCCGCCATCCCGCTTTCCCCTGACTTGGCTAGAAGGCTGGCGGGGGGGGGGGGGAGAAGCCTGCTCCTCCCCGTCGCCAGCCCCGCAAACTCGGGAGACAGGGGGAGAGGCGCAGCGCGTTCTTCCCGCTGTCCCCCGACTTGGCTAGAAGGCTGGCGGGGGGGAGAAGCCTGCTCCTCCCCGTCGCCAGCCCCGCAAACTCGGGGGACAGCGGGAGAGGTGCAGCGCGCCATCCCGCTGTCTCCCGACATGGTTTGGAGGCTGGCGGAGGCTTCCTCCTCCCCCAGCCCCGCAAGCTCCCAGAGCAATGCCAAAGCTGCGCGCAGCTTCGGCATGGCTCTGGGTCCCGTTCTGGGGGAGGGGGAAGCTCGGGCTTCCCCCGCCCCAGCCCCGCGCCTGGCGGGGGGGAGATAAATCCCCCCCCCCAAAATCTAGGTGCGTCCTATGGACCGGTGCGTCCTATAGTGCGAAAAATACGGTAACTAACTAACACTGGGTAAAGAACATTTTTGGAAGGGCAGGGTAGTAGCACTTCATATTTTTTTCCCTACTAGACCCCCAAGATATAACAATAAAAGCCAGGTGTAAAAGACATAGTTGGAATTAAACAGGGTGCCTCTGAGCTCTTTCTGAATCTAAGGTTTTGTTTTCAGGAAATTAACAGAAAGGATGGCTTTCTTCATTTTATTAGCCTGATATAAGTAGAAGAAATGGGCTTGTTCTTGTTGAACGTTTGGGAGTGAGACATTTTTGCTGATCTAGTGCAAATTAGGCCTGGGTGATCTATCGCCCAGGACTGGTATGAGGGCAGATCGCAATGGTGGCTGAAACTGCCACCGCTCCTGAGTCCCTCTCCCTTGGCGTTGGTAGCAGAGGGACTCGGGAGCGGTGGCGGTTTCACCAAAGATATACCGCTGAGTGAAGCTGCCATCACAGTCTGCCCTCATACCAGCACAGAGGGAGAAGCAAGCTGCATCGGTGAGGCGTGATGCAGCTTGGCTGAGGAGTGTGCCACTGCCCTTCCTTCAGCCAAGCAGTTTTACGGAGATCCTTACCCACCACTGGCTTGCACAGGGGGTGGGGGCTCCATTAAAGTGCTCCTGCTCGCCAACTGAGGGAGCCCCATCCTTTTCCTGCTCACAGATGAGCTCCCTCAGGTGGGTAACGGGTTGCTTTGTGTCCCCCAGCTTGTGCAAGCTGGAGATGGGGGGGGGCTCCCTTAGACTTCTGTGCCAAGGCAGCAGGTCTGCACTTGAGGGTGGGCTAGGTCTTTCCTCCCGGGGGAAGGCAGCCAGGCGGTGCAGAGGCTGCTGGGCCCAGCACTTGCTAGCCCTGCTCCACAAGGCGCAGATAGAGTGGCTTGCACCCTGTGCCTTGAGGAGCGGTGCTGATGCTGTGAGGGAGGCAGCCTTGCAAACAGAGCCTGACAGTTGTGCACTTGGCTGCAGCCACCTGGCTGATTCCCTCCATCCCCAGTGCCTGGAGCAAGCTGTACTGGCCTCAGCTCCTGGCCAATGCAGCTTGTTTCTCCCTCCGTTTCAATATTGTGATGTTGAAAAGCTGACATTGCCCAGCCCTGGTGCAGATCACCCACAGACTTACCAGTAGGGCAACTATCTACCCACTAGGACTAGGCGATGTTGAAACAAGGGGCATCGGCCCCAGCTGGCGAGGTGCTGGGAGAAACTGCTTCAGTTCTCACGGTGGGAACTGAGGAGCGTCTTGTGCGCTAGGGACAATGCAGCTGGCCCCAGCCTGCTGCTCAGCTGGGGGGCGGAAAGCTCTGGCTTCCTAGCTGAGGGATCCCGACCTGGAAACTGCGCTTCCCTCAACAGGGAAGTTTAGAGGAGGCTCACCAGAGCCCTGCTCTGCCTGGCTGCCTTCAGGCAGTGCTCCTTTAAACTTCCCTGTTGAGGGGAGCGCAGCCGTGCATCCCTCAGTAGAAGAGTGTGGTGGAGCCTGCACCTCCCTAGCTGAGCAGCCCTGATCCAGCTCCTGTGCAAGCAGGAACTGGCTTGGAGATATCTCAGCTGGGAAGCGGGAGCACTTTAATGGAGCCTGGCAGCGGCGGCTTCTACAAGCCACCAGCAGGTTGGGGACTCTGTAAAACTGCTTGGCTGAGGCAAGGGCAGCAGCGCACGCCTCAGCCAAGCAGTTAAAAGAAGTGGGGGGAGGAACAAGCTATATTGGCACCTCATCCAGGCAGCTTGTTTCAGTCTCTGCCATTATGAGGGGCAGACCACGGTGACAGTTTCACTCAGCGGTATATCACTGAGGAAACCACTGCCACTTGAGTCTCTCTCTTGGCAGTTTGTTTCTCCCTCAGCCGGGTGCTGGAGGCAGAGGGACTCGGTGGTGGTTTCACCAGCGATATACAGCTGAGTGAAACCATTATCGCGGTCTGCCCCTCATACTGGTCCTGGGCGATATATGGGGCGAATGCAGGCTTTCGC